ATGAATTCAATGCATGCTGAATCATTTTCAATCGTATCGAATCATTACCCAGTGAAAAATATTTATCAAAAAGAACGGCAAAGAACGCGTTCCAATTTCGTAGAAAACTTTTTTTAAGAAAAAAAACGTTTGCTTATAAAAGTAGAATCCGTTCCGAAATGGAACGGTCAAGAACACGTTCTCATCCTTAAGGAACGTTTTCTTTTCTTAAAAAAACGGCTTTCACGTTCTCGGAACGCGTTCTCGGTCGTTTCCATTTAAAATGATGAAAAATGCGTTCCTAGATCAGCTTTTCCTATAAGAACCCTCGGAGAGTTCCGAATGATTGACAAAACATACCTCTTAGGAACCCTCGAGAAGCCAGAAAAAAAGGTGAGAAATATCTGTAGACTGCCTTGGAAGTTTTTAGGCAGTCTACAGATATTTCTCACCTTTTTTCCTGGCTTCTCGAGGGTTCCTAAGAGGTATGTTTTGTCAATCACTCGGAAATCTCCGAGGGTTTTCTTAGGAAAAGCTAATCTAGGTGCCAGTTTTTCACGAAAGAATTTAAGAAGGGATTTATTAGTTTTCTACATTCTTACAGAAACCCTTAACAAAGATAACCGAGGCATCACTCAATCGTCCTATAAGATCCATGTACCCTATCTGAGAAGCATATCCTCATCTAAAACAAAGTCAACAGAGAAAGCATTTCTCAATCTACTCAAACTGGAATCACTGACTACTGTATATAACTACACTCCACGAAAAAAAAACGATTGCTTCTATTAAGATGGAATAAAGCTAAAGAAGAACTAACTCTATCTTTGTTAGATGGGAAAATGATTATTTTCATTAGAATAACATAAAATTAAAGGAAAACTATCTCTATCTCTACTAGATGCGAAAAATGATTGTTTTTATTAAGATGGAATGAAAAATAAAGAAAAACCATCTTTATCTCTATCTCTACTGGATGAGGAAAATGATCATGTTTATTAAGATGGAATGAAAACTAAAGAAAAACTATCTATACCTCCACTAGATAAAAAAAATGATTTTTCTGATTAAAATGCAATAAAATTAGAAGAATCTTAACTTAATCTTTACCATATAAAAAATGATTATTTTTATTAAGATGGAAAATAACGAAAGGAAAACTAACTCTAACTATACTAGATGAACAAAATGATTTTTCAGATAAAGATCAAATAAAACTAAGAAACGCTAACTTTATCTCTATTGAATGAAAAAAAATGACTATTTATATTAAGATCGAATAAAACTATAGGTAAACAAACTCTATCTCTACTAGATAAAACCAATGACTACTTTTATTACGATGAAATAAAAGCAAAAGAAAACTAATGGCAAAATATACTAATTTGTCAATCATTTTATTTAGTTTTATTCAAAAACAATAGTGAACCTTTCCACCTATACACAAGGTCATTATCAACAAAAAATGATGGAAAGTAAAAAATATGTACAAAATTGTTCTTGTCCTTTGTTCTGCTCTGACCATTGATAAACATTGCAATGAAAGGGAGAGATAATATTTCGATCACACTGCAATGTTTATCAATAGTCAGAACAGAATAAGGGAAAAGAATAGAACAATTTTGTACATATCTTTTACTTTCCATCATTTTGTGTTGATAATGACCTTGTGTATAGGTGGAAAGCTTCAATATTGTTTTTGAATAGAACTAAATAAAATGATCGACGAATTAGTATACTTTGTCATTAGTGTATTTTCTTATATCTCGTCCAATAATATAAATAAAAGAAAACTAACTCTAACTGTATTAGATGAAAAAACGACCATTACGATTAAGGTCGAACAAAATTAGAAGAACACTAACTCTATGTCTATTAGGTGGAAAACATGACAATTTGTATTAAGATGGAAAAAAATCAAAGAAAAACTAACTCTGTCTCTACTAAGATGAAATAAAACTAAAGAAACACTAATTTATCTCTACCCAATGAAAAAAATGATTATTTCTGTTAAAATTGAATAAAACTAAACGAATTTTAAAAAAAATGATTTTTTTAAATTAGTATCGAAAATAATCGAAAGGACACTAATTCTCTCTTTACTAGATAACAGAAATGATTGTTTCTATTAAGTTGTAATAAAGCTAAATGGGCAATACAATACAAATTATGGGAAAAGCTTGTTAAGTTCGTCAAAGAGAAGAATTGTTGAATATTCGTTTGCCGAACGACTCCGAATTTTTCTAGAATCCTTCTTATTGTTGGACATTGCTTGTGTCTCTTTTTATTGTTTTTGTCAGCATGTTGTAAATAAGACTGTCATGATATCGATAGCTAAAAGCTCAACGTTGAAAACAGACGTTGATAAAAGAATTAAGAGTTATGATGATAATTTTTTATGCAGAAAACAATGAGACAAAAATTTAATATATTTGAGAACACTGACGAATCCATTTGGAGCTAATCAATATTCTTTCTCAATATAACAGGATAATTTTATGTGGGTTATGAAACGGACGAGAAGGTGTTCTGTATTTTTAAAACTGATTTTTGAATTCACGAGAAAGCATTCGACAATTAGGAGAACGACAGAGAATGCGTTCTTTTCTCCCTAAGAATGATGTCGAATTGTCTGAAACGTGTTCATCAGTTCGAAGAATATATTCTCAAGTATTTCTTGAGAGAAGGTCAAAGAAAGCATTCTCATTTTC